ATGACTGTGTTTTTAATAAATATACCATGTTGCAACTCAAAAAAAACATAGTTTATCTATTAAAAACACAGTCATTTTAAACAAAGAACCCAACATAAAGAAACGAAAAATCAAGGAATCCATCTTAAATGAAGAATGTAGTGTTTGAAAATGTAATAGACGAAATACTAATGTCTTATGATGAGTACAACTTTAATCATTCTTTGATGGCTGTAAAAGGCTACACACTATAACAACAGACATATTGCAATGTTTATTAGCAAGTTTGTACATGCCAGGCAGTTATGATTTTGTGTTCGTACAATAAATACCTATTAAAAACTGCCATACTGATGCCAATCTATGATAACACTAAAATATTTCAAGTCTGTAACTGTTTGATTGGTGGCTTTTATGGTTTTCTGAAAAAAGCAGGATATATAACTTCCTTGAATCTCATTCATTACAGTGTACCACTAATTCAACTTTCTTCAGAGACCTCTCAACCAAAGGTTGATAAAAACAGACAAAATAAACAAAAATTACAACATATAAACAAAACATTTATTCAATTATTACAAAATAGAGTAAAATTCAGCTATACTTGGCTTTATGTTTTATAAAAATCAGCTATCCATATTATCACTGAATTGTGACTATTTTGATTATAAATAATTTGCTTATTCCATAGTACTGTACATGTAATCCACCTAAACTATCAGAACACAGTTTCAAAGTAAAAAATTCTGTTATCAATTAGAAGCAGGCATTTCATTAAAGTAGGCTGACATTAAAGGTGGTTGGATCCTTGTAGACTTTGGTACCTCAGAACGTAAAGTAACTTGATTTTGATTAGGCTGTAATACTCCCGATTTGGATGGTTGGGTATTACTGGCACTGGTTGTAGTTGGACGGGAAGGATTTTGATTTAGGTTAGGTTGGAGAGTTCCTAGTCTATTGTGAGCTGACTGACTCCTTCCAGTTGATTTAAACTGAATTCCTACACCCTGGTTAGAGGCACATCTGGTTAAAGCACTTGATGTAGTAGTGGACACCGTCGTTCTTGCTAGAGCATGGTCACTCTGCTTCTGGAAGTACCGTGGGTCAATCGGGCCATTTCTTTTCAAAGTAAAGCATTATTGCTAAGAGAGTAAAACTCAGCCCTACTAAATTACACCATTATTATCTTATCTTTAAATACAGTGGCATAAATCATTCTGTATCAGGTGACAAATGTTAGCAACATTATTGTAGAAACAAAACTATTTTAAAACAGAAATGGCTAAACTAAATCACAAATATTCAATGCTTTTTGTTTTGAAAATGATGAGTAAAATATTAGAAAATGTATTTATTGATAACTGTCAGCATTTGATCACAGAATGAAAAAAAGTATTTTAAACTATTTCTTACCCAGAATTGAAGGCAGGTCCACACTGTGAAGAAGCTACACTGATCTTATCTTGCCCCAGTCCACCAGGATTATACTGCAAATGCTAACAGAAGTAAAGAGATCAAATTAATCTTTATCCAGCCTCTATAGAAGTTGACCAACTATTTAGTACATAACTATAACCTTTTAGTATTTGTAATGTAGAGTAATTTTTTACAAACTTATGAATCATCTACCTGTACAATTCCACCTGGCAAATACATGTGACAACTTTTAAGTCATATTTCCCTGCTACTGTGCCAAAATATATAGTTTAATGTTCCTTATAAAACACAAGAAATGTTAACTGCAATGCTAGTAATAATTTAGTGATTGATCAATTATACACAAGGAAATTATTAGAAACAACAGACATCATTTACTATTTGTTCCTTCAGTTTTGAATTAGTTAGTACACAGATTGTACCTCATCAACTTACTACTAAGAGTTTACAAGCACACCTCAAAATTGTTTAACATGTATAGATTTCATACCATTACAAATAAATTACATAAATTTTCAGAATCTAGAATTATGGCAAGTTTGAACATTTTCCAAAACAAATCCTTCATTTTACTACACCTGTTTTATAATTTACTTCCTATAAAAAAGTCATTTACTAAAGACATTGGTTTACAAAGAAATCTACCTACTCTTACAGTATTTCACACACATACCCAACAAACAAGCAATTAAACTTATTGGTTGATTAGGAACATTTGCTACTAATGGTACTGTGAAACATAGTTGTGAGGAATTAAAATACACCCTACCAATGAAACAAAGAATAGTGAAAGATGAATACTTATTAACAATGAATACCTCAAATAAATGTCACAGAAACCACAAGAAAAACTGAATATTATATAGATGTAGAAAGAGTTCAGCTACCAGCTGTTGAACAACTTTAGAAAAGACTTTAATAATTCATAAGAATATAAAATTCTATCAATCAACAAGTGAAGGAAAAAACTGATTAACTTGTTGATGTCAACCTAGGAACTAAGTAGCTAAAAAGAAATCTGTAATGAAGGTAGTTTTTTATAGATTCTAACCATGCTGAGAAGTAATTGTTTTCTGTCACAACCTTACAACTGTTGCAACTGATAACACAAAGCTGTGTAATTATCATCAATTAAGCATTTTAAATTCTGATTACTAAAGTAATAGTTAATTACGTTTTGTCTATGCAAAAGGCTCCATAATCAGGAAAGTACAAAAGACTAAGTAAAGTTCTGGCAGGACCTTTTTTATTAAAAATGATTTATACATGTAAAGAACACAGTCAGTTCACCAATCAATCATTACTAAAACTACATTTAATTTTCATTAAAACAGATTTTTCATGATTTATATGAAACTGCACTGCAGAGTTAAAATGTAACAAAAGAACTTGACTAATAATCACATCAACAACTAGGGCTTGGAATGTTAACATTCATTTGTTGCACTACCTTACAGTAAAAAATAATATTACAAAAAAATCCAATTATTTAAAAACCCTGTTCATGAAGAAATCCAAATTCTACACACCCAACCTTGATATTTTAAAAATATTTTCATTGTTTTATGTAAATCTTAGTTTCTTCTGCTGAGATCTATATTAACAAATAAACTTTTTAGCTATTAGCATAACATATATTCAAATGTTATTACAGAATATCCAGCCATTTAAATATGATGCTCTTGTATTACCTGTGGTACTGATGCTGTACCAACACTTGTAGTCCTGCCACAGGCCGGAACACCAGTAGTGTGGATACCAGGTGGACGCATCATTGGTGTCGATGTTAAATACTGCTGCTATATTAGTAATAGAAGTTACTGTGAGATAGCATCTTTTTCAAATCGTTAGGACTCTGCTCTACCTGTAAGTTTTCATGTTACACAGTCGACAGAATGTTTTTATCAGACAGTTACAAGCAAAATGAACCTAACCAAAAAATATTTAAACATACAATATTTTAAGTTGTTTTGTATTTTGTTGCCATGTGACATCATATTTTCTTCACACAAAACACAAATTGTGTATATTCACTTAACAGGGTACGTGTACCAATAAAGAAATAAATATTCAATGATCATTTTAGAAATTGAAGGAACATTTCATGTGGGTTACACATGAAACTGCACCTGGATGTATGTTTTCAAATGTAAATATTGTTAAATTATGTTTTATATGGTAAAAAGCCAGTAATATTTTGAGTACTAATCTAGCAGTGTTCAAATGCAACTGAATTATTTGAAAATAAGAGTCAAAGTTAAAATGTTTCAGCAATTCTTCTTTGACAGTTTCTGTTGAATTTTCACTATGAGAAACTTCAAGAATTTTTCCTTCTCTCTTACAGCTTCCCTCAGGAAGTTGGTCACTGTGAAGAACATTGAAGTTTCTTTCCTTTTCTCAACATTTTCATTAGCCGATGAACGGAGATGCTTAATGTTAGACTCAAGTCTGATCTTATGTTTGAGATTTTCCCATCCCAATTCTGTTTCTTCAATCTTTCTTTTGTCATCTTTCTGTAGCTTCTATTTTCTAGACTTCTCCTCTTATAAGTACGTCTTAAACCTTTGTCCTGCATGTCCACAGTTATGTTTGCATTCATGACACCTCCAGGATGTCTACTGTGGTCAATTATGATTTTCTTAGCATTAAGGGCCATGCTATTTTGGTTTTCTGTGACAGCTTCTGCATTTACAGAAAATCTTAACACTGGCCTGAGATAAGGAAAGGAAAGTTGGTAAACTCTCCAAAGCACCTGGAATTGTTTTTGTCTGACAGGAGATGAAAATATAGAGTATCCAGTTTGTTCTGCTCTCTCTGAAACACATGAACACTTGAATCAGGCAACTGTAGGGAAATTGTGAGAAGCTCTCCATACTGCCCGAGTATAGTGTCACAGTTCTTTTCTTCCACTCTGCCTGCATTTACCTGACTTTCTATACAAGATGAAAACATTACAGGAATAAATGATGCATTTAACATTACTTCTAGATTTAAGCAGCTCAAGTTCCTTACCAAGCTATAAGTTAAGGGAGACTTCTGAATAATTTTGCCTATATTCAAGACTAAAGCCTAAAAAGTATTTTTTAAATCGTTAAGAACTTTCTTTGTAACAAAACCAGTATCAGTTTTGGAAGGTTCCTTTACAATTTTTTTGTTTGTAAACTCCTGGTTATAATGTGTTGTGGTACAGTTATTTTTTTCCAGTCGTTCTGAAGTGACAAATTTTTACAACTATCCCTTGACATGATCAGAGAGATCAGTAGCCATAAAAGGCAACATTGTTTTACCATTCTGAAATTCTTTGAGAAAAGATAAAATTTCTCTAGCAACTGAGAGAAAAACTTTGTTTTGGGGCTGAAGAGATGGGAATTAACAACTTTACAAATAATGTCATATGACTTTATTTTATTTTTTTGGTGGGGTGGGGGATCTTGTGCACCCACGTTTATAAAATGAGGTAGCATGGACAAGTACTTTTCCACAACACTGATGTTCTCCAATCACTGGGGCTTACAAAACTTTGATGAAAGATCCAAGTATCCAGTCTCACTTTTGAAGTCATCAGCTCTTACTGGAGAATCTTTGAAATAATAATAGAAATATGCCACAGTTTCTTCAAATTTCCAGTCAGCTGCTTTACACCTATATTAAAAAGCATTGTGAATTGTGTGTGAACCATAAGATCCAACTTGCAACAAGTTTCTGGATTGAGTTTATTAGCTTCAGTTGATAACATGTCATGTGATTTCATATTAACAATGAGACTGTCCATGGATATCTACAACAAATACTTAGAACTGAAGTCTGTGAAAACAGGGAATAGTTTGTCAAGTATATTAGTGCCAGTAGCATGTCGTAAGAACTGTGATTTGATGTATCTTGAGTGGACTATTTTCTCATCTCAAAAGCAAGCAAGCGAGGGTGTTTCACTTGGAGAGACTTGTTCAAGCTCTCATTAAACAAAACATATACCCATCAGATTTCTGGTTTTTCTGCTTCAGTATGGACATGAAATATGGAGCTAATACATGTATGGCTAAGTATAATGTTTCATCTTCCCCACAGAAAAACTTGTGGCCAATTTCACTGACAGGAACATACTCTTGAAAAGTTCTGTGAGCCTTTCATTTTAATGAAATGAACAATGACAGTGAATAGTTCTCAAAGTCTACAAAACATCAGAAGAAGAAACAAATGACTGTATGCTGTAAGTTGAACTTCTTCAAACCACTTGAACAGAAACAGCCCATCTTAAAAATACCAAGTTACATATTTATCATAAAATTTCAATGGAAATCTATTTTAATAAGCATTGTTATTTATTCATTAAGAACCCATATTTTTATTATAAACATACAATTTCTTATTAGATCTATATTGAGTTCTGCAAATAAAACTCAGCAGAATACAGATACATTTTCTACTTAATCTTTGGAAAACTAGATTTAACATTAGATCTGTACCTAGATCTATAATATTTAACCGTTACATGTATAAATTGATCTGCTTCTCATACCACACATACAAACAATTAGGTCTTGGCCTAATGTTAGGCCTTTAGCACAAAATGTTAGGCCTGTATGTATCTGTGCAGACTTGATTAAATGCACCTATGTGCATTGTATTGATTCAACAATTTTACTAAGTTATAATGCAGAACCAGATCTAAAGATTAGATTTTGAACTAGTTAACACATTAGGCCTAAGTATTAACATTAGACATACTAGATTCTAATGATAGTCGTTTGGTGTCTGATTTGTAAGAATAATGCAAGGTTTAGCTTATGCCTAAAAGTTCAATACAGTATATTACACAAAATTGTAACCTTCCAATATAAAAATTAGCATTTTTACCTTTTAGCCAAACATGAAATGTTTATCAAAGTGTTTAAAAATAAACAACAGCTACTTACTCAGTCAAATCACGATATCAACAGATTATTAAAATATTGTGATCATGCTCTCAGAACGGCACAGCATGTCACACAATAAAGTGCACATGGCAAAACTATCCATTCGATTGATAATTGATGTTTTCACACTGTTTACTTATCTTTAAACTTCATTAACATTTTTTAGTCAGCAGATTGTCTAAATTTCAAAATCTCTCAAGGATTTCCAGAACCATGGGAATCGTGATTTACTGCTGACCCACAGAAGGATAGCCTTATAATTTTATTTTTCTTAACTTCAAGTTTGTTCAACTTGATTTTTTTGGTGGGGGTGCAGTTGCAATTCACTGTCTTCTGCTAACTCTCCCTCAAACTAGTGGGAAAGCAATCTGGTAGCACCGACTGCCAATGTTTCTAATGTTTGTTTGCTTTTCTTTTTGAACTGATGATTACAGAGGAGACAATTTTCTTTTTGTTTGTGCATACCAGGTTTTAAGGAACACTACTAATTTATTAATGGAGTCATCAATTAATCAATTAGCAAGTACCTAATTGGCCAGTTTTATTGGTCATTATTGGAATCTTCATTTTACTTGTATGCCCAGAAATAGATAATTCCTGCTTACCAAATTTACAAGCCTCAAAAGACATTTTCTAGTAAATCAAAAAATATAAAACTTGTGGAACGTTTTACATTCACAAAGTGGGTCATAAATTTTAAACATGTTTATTTTTAAGATAATTTTTTTCTAAATAACTAAAGACCAACGAGTCTCACTAATAAATTTCCCACACACAACAAATAAATAAATGAATGTTAAAGTTAAATAACTACTCAACCTCTATTAATTTACATAACTAAAAATTTTAATT